TTATTTTCTGCAGAGAAAGAGAGAAAATGTGAAATAGTCTCCTAGGAATTCCTCCCACCTCTCTATTTTTATTTTTTTTTTTTTAATTTTCACCTCCTCTATTAGGGTTTTCATTCAGTTTAGTTTTTTAAACTCCAGTTATTTACTTGATTGTTTATGCAGGACAGACAACAATGGAATCACATCTGTTGTGCTCTTGGTTCCAAGTGTTACCTGATTGCTGAAGATGCTGCCACATATATTTCCAAACTTAAAATTGACCAAAACATAAACATACCAACGTGCAGTGGTGTTGTCCTAAAATATATTAACCAAACCAGGGTATCAGACCTCATAGAACTTACTGGACTTCTAGATGGTGAGTAGAGGGGGAAAAAGGCTGACTTTCAAACCCTACAAGTCAATAAGTAGTGTTGCTACATCTGTAAATATTACATCTTTTTATGTAATTATTGCCACTTCTAATTTAGGAAGCGCTTGTCAGAAGAAACTAAAATTCATGTTTTGATTCACAAATCTCTGTTCAGGAGCTGAAAACAGCATTCAAGGCTTCAACTATAGTAAATTAATACACTGTGGATGCTTTGAGTGTGGGTGCCCTTTGGCACTGCAGCTAAGTGTCATACAGTTAGACATCAGAATTAAACAAAATAAAAAAGAGGTAGTTGACTAGTCTGAATTTTGACTAATACTAGTATTAATAATTAAGAAATCCAAACAAGCCCAGAATGTTTAAAATTGCAGTTTACATGATTATTGACTATACATTACCGAGCTTTTGTGGTAACAGTGCTAAGAACCTGTGCAGTTTCATATGTAAGATTTGTCTTTGCATCAATTTTTCTTTATTCATTTTTATACGCAAGGAATAGATGGACAAATTTAATATATCTAAGTTCCTTCCTTATTCCCTCTCTGTAGTGAGGAAAAATCATTACTATAGTAAGGAGCACATTTAAAATAAATAGAACAGCCTCCTAGCCTGTAGAATACATTACCAGACAGATCAACTGGAGACAGAAATTAGGATAGGATGTTAGATATTCCCTTAACCATGCTGAAAATAAAACGTAATGTTAATGTAGCAAACTACTATAGTTTATATCCTTATGAGGTGGGTTTCCTTGGTTTTACTCCTGTTTGTATTTAAGCTTCGATAGCCCAAAGGTAAAAAAGAATGAAAAGTCCAAGCAATTTCTGTGTCGAACATACAAAATATACACTAATGAAGGTTTTACACTCCCGTTATATATAGGTCAAAGACATATTACCATATTAGGAAGTCCAGATGGAGAATCTTCTGATGATAGCCTTGTGGATCTGGTAAGTATTGAAAGCTGTTCAATTGCAGAATTGCCAGAACACTGCTTTTAACATGAACTATTTTTTAAGGAGAAAGCCTGTTTCCGCTTGAGAAAGAAGCAGCGTTTTACAAAATGGGCTTTTTCTAGAGAGTTGCTTTTTTTCCCCACAGAGAGTTATTCTTTGAGTTTAAAGAGAACACACAGGAAATTTGCCAAAGCAAGGAGTATATTCAGAAGTGTGTATGATCTATTTGGTTGCATTAGTTTATAAAAAAAATGTGAGATACTTAAAACATTTCTAAGTAGTAATAATATTTTAGGCAAAAATTCTTAACACTAATATATTTAGTCTTTTTGTATTAAAGCTACATTTGCAAATAAAATTTCGTTTCCTACGCCAGTGAAAATTATTGTTTGCATCCGACAAATCTTTCACTGAGAGATTTTATTTCTATTTAAAGGAAGGTTTTTATCTGTAGAAAGGTAAGAGTGTTAAATTAGAAGTAGGATACCATGTTTAATAATTAAGAAGGACTTCACTTCCCGAACCGTCTAGTTTTAAAATACGCACTTTTTCGTTTAAGGCTGTTGGACTGGGTGCCAGGTTTATCAAGTTGGGAGGTCTTTCCCGCGGAGAAAGGGTGACCAAATACAACCGCCTTCTTGCTATAGAGGAAGAACTGGCCAAGAATAGAACGCTACGTATGAGCTTCTTTCTTACTTTGTTTTCAGCTTGCAATGAATGCGAGAACAAAGATTGGAGGGAGAATGATTGAAACTGCACCACAGGAGGGAAGTGAAATCAAAAGACTATAACTAAGCGCTGACAAAAAGAAACTAGGATAGCACTTGCCACAATGTATATTGTTGTCCTAATGGATTATCTGTTTACTGAATGTTAAAATAGACCCCTTCTTGAGGAGTAGCCTACATTAAGCTTTTTTCCAGAATTAATTGGTTGGAGTCTTGAAGCCCACGGTGCAAAAGGAACAAAACAAAAACCACGCATATAACACGCCGAAAAGCTGCCAAAACGGAATTTTAGGCCAAATACCCCACCTCCCTCAAGCCCCTAAACATATATTGCTAACAAAACTTCATTTCACAACCCTCTTTTGTGTGTTACATTTCCAGCAAAATGTGTTTGGAAAGCTACAATTGCACGGGTAAGCACTAAATAAAACCCAAGAAAACCCGAAGTTGACTATGCACATTCAGCCTTAGCCACTTGTATGCATCTGCCTGCATTTCAGGATCTGCATCTTCTTTTTAGCTCTACACTGTTAAATGCTTAACAGTTCATTAGAACCACTTCTCACTTGTTCAGGTATCAATCAAGACAGAATAAAGGCATACAGTCTGAAGGGGAGGCAGAGACACAAGGAGAGGAAGAAAGGAAGGAAAGGGTTTGCAAGAATTTATTATGCCTAAGAAAAAGAAAAATGAAGGAGAATTAAGTCATTTTACCCTCTTGTTTCTAATCATTTGCAATCTTCTATACATAGGACAGCACCACTTGACATGCACACTAGAGAACAAAGTTTTTATTTTAAAAAAATTGTTATTGAAAATATTCTGTTTTCGAAATCTCCCCCTTGCTCATCTATAATGGTTGTAAAAAATAGAAACATAGACAGAAATTCTTTTTTGCTAAGACAGTAGTTTCACAGAATGCGTTTTTCAAAAACAAGACATAATTATAAAGAGCTGTGAACTTTAACTGCCTCAGCAATATTAATGTATTCCCTATTCAAATGGCATAGTGTAAACAAAGGGCTTGAGTTTGACAAATATTTAAACCTGTATCTCATAAAATGAAATAGCAACAATTCCAGAAGCCGTTAATAGTTTGGCAGAAATAAAATCCAGTAACTAAATCAACAGCAGGGATATACTGAGATAGCATGTCTGAGCTGCATACCAAACTCTTCATTTGGCTGGGCTGCGAGCTACGGAATACACTGGAGAGCTGAGAAGAGAGGACTCTCTAAGTCGCTCGTAGCTGGGCAGTGACACTGACCCCTCAGGAGTCCCCCCCAGGAGGGGGCACGCAGCTGGGCCCAGGAGCACCGTAACAGCCGGCGCCCTCGGCTCTCCTGCTGCCTTGCCCCCTCTCGCTGGGAGTAATTTGGGTTGCGCAGAAGGCTTTGCCTAAGTGCAGCCCCAATGCCGATGCTGTGTTTCAGCCACCAGATTCACCCGGAAGGCATGTGTGAACTGCTTGCAAGCTGAATCGGACTGGCCATCCCTTTACTAAAAAGTGACACGTACAGCTGAGACATACTCGGTGATGGGGTGGGCACTGTGTATGTGGCAAAACGGAATTAGGTGGTGAGGTTAGGGAAGAAGGGGTGTCCCAGAATTGGGAAAAATAGCAGCGAGAAGACAGGTGAGGTGTTAGTTACAGGAGCAACATCTGAACATGGGCTTACATAAAGTTGTTAAAGGCTGGGGCAGAGAAGAGGCACGGTCAGCTGATGGGAACTTTTGCAAGCGCACCAGTGCAGAGGAAGATGGGTGTTCAAAAAAAGGGCAGCAAGGTGCGATGATTAGTGAAGAAGGGAATGCAATAAATATCCCGGCTCAGGCTGCTGTGCAGCATGCCCTAATCCTGTAACCAAAGTGCAGGGCTGTTGCTCCTTTGTTTCTAAGGACCAGACTTCTAAAGGTGTTTAGAGACTCTTGGAAGCATCATGTGGCATTTAAAAAAAATCTGAGTGCACCAGAGAACATTACAAGAAACCGGATTACAGCAAACATGAGTTTCTTTTTTCTCTTCTATTTCAGGTGAAGCAAATCTTGAATTTATTGCTTTTGCTGAAGAATCACAGCCAGAAAAACAACTTTCTGATGTACTTCCTCCCCCAAAGCAGGATTCGTTGCCTCCACAGCTCTCTCAGCCAGCCCTGCAGGTTCGCAGCCTGCCTGCTCAGCTCCCAGAGAACAGCACACTGACCTAGGTTGTCAACATTAACTTTTGGATAAATTTCTGAAAAAAACATTCTAGTAAGAAACTCATATATTAACTATTCCTTAATCCATTTCTTTTCAAGCACTTTGGCTAAACGTTTTTAAAAGCATTCAGATACTAGCTTCTCTTTTCCCAGGAGAGCATTGCTTTCAGCTGAAACCAAGTTAACTGAGCAGTGGCTATAGTTTGAAAATACCACAAAATTCTGTGCTGTATTTACAAACTGACAAAACAAATACCTCTGTGTTAAGTCCAAAACTAAATGTTTGTTTTGGGAAAGTGGAAATCTCTCTCCATACAAAGAGCAAGCTATTGACAAAGAGTAAAAAAAAAACAAACCATTTTACAAAAAACAAAGGCCTTGACTGTTACGCTGCTCCATCCCCCACCCGCACCCTCAATGCTGCTCTTAGATCTAGCCTACAAGGGAAATTTTGCTCCAGTTCTAGCTAGCTAGCAATACAAGTGCATCAGCGCAAACCCCAAATGTAGGGCACAAAGCCGTCACTGGCATCGCTAGGAGGCTTGCTTCAGTCGGAGGCAGGGAATAACAAGTCAATTTCACAAGGTCTGGGAAACTTGTCAGGAGTCTTTTTAATAAGCAACAGTGAAAAGATAAATAAATAATTTATGTCCTAGGTAACAAACAGTTTAAGTAAAAGACATACTTCTTAAAAACCTTCTGGGGTTTGTATAATTTGAACATATAATACAGCAGCAATAATTTGAGGAAAAATACATATATAAAACATTGCATTTTAAATTCAGTGTAACACATACCCAAGTGAAAAATTAACCACCAGAACCAACCTCCCCCCCAGAAATGAAGATATCGATGAGAGACAAATTTCCCCAAGTTTAGGAATTATATGTAGTTCAGTAATTGGATCAAGTCCAAGATTTTCTTAGCAAACATGCAAAAAACACCAAAAAAGATGTGAAACCAGCACACTCGTTACTATCACTTTATTTTTAGGAAAAGCACCAGACAGTTGCATGCAGAGCCAAACCAACAAACTCAGAACATTCATTCTTCAATACTATCACTGTTTCAAATCATTAAATAGAAAATAATCCAAGTGCATTCAAGTACTTGACCACCCAATTTCAGTTACACCGATCTTTAGGTAAATCCCTGATTACATTTGTTGGTTCACTATAAAAGAATGAGATACTGTGTTGAATTTAAGAAGAGACTACAATGGAATGTGAATTGGCAGTGGAGCAAATCAATTGTGTACCTATTTCACTGTCTTCATAGGAAATAAGGGCTGAGGGATACTGGGATTTGTGTCATCAAATAGAGACATCTAAAGTGTTATCTAATAAAGAAATTAATGCCACTGGTGTGTAGCAGGTTCAAAGCAAAGCCTTATTTGTTAGTGTTGCGAGATTTCAGCTGGAAGTGCTCAAAATGTTGATTCCAAATAACTTGCAATCCTAGAATGACTGAATCCCAAAGGTACTCCGTACTCACGAGAGCCTAGGGTAACTTATTTTTTGCAGCAGCAAATACAGACTGCTGTTGCAGCAGTTCCAAACTTTGCTATGCAACATTGAAACAAAAACCAGGAGGTACGTCCTCCTTTGAAAAGCTTTTCATCCACATGAGAGCACCAATCTCAACCCATGAACTTCTGACTTTGGCCATCGTTACCAAAACTCTTGGTACCAAAATGACATGCTGCACTGCCTCTGCTTTTCAGTCTTTGGGCTAGCTGTCCACTGGGGAATCTGAACTGAAACAGAAGTGTTATGCTTGTGCTTTTAATTTCCTCAAAAGAGCGTGTGTGGAGACAGCAGTACGGAGACCTACAAGATCTTGGTTTAAGTAGAGATCAAAATATTTTTAAAGCAATGTGTCTAAAACCTGATTTTTCAATTATTAGTAGTAGCCCCCATACTAAAGCTGATGTGTGTGTAATCACCTTCATAGGGTCAAACCCAAACCTGTCCAGTTCAAGAGGGATGCAAGGGGCTTCCGGCAAGCTTTAGAATGGACCTTTAACAAGGTACCGGATCTTGGTTTAAGTAGATATCAAAATATTTTTAAAGCAATGTGTCTAAAACCTGATTTTTCAATTATTAGTAGTAGCCCCCATACTAAAGCTGATGTGTGTGTAATCACCTTCATAGGGTCAAACCCAAACCTGTCCAGTTCAAGAGGGATGCAAGGGGCTTCCGGCAAGCTTTAGAATGGACCTTTAACAAGGTACCTTCTTAACAAAAGAATAATTAAAAAAGCCTTTTCAAATACAGTTTTAAAGAAAAAGTAACTGACAATAGCTAAGAAAATACTAACCCTACCTGGGAAATTAAAATGGGAAAGGGATTTTGAGTGATACATAGTTATTTAACACTTTAATGCATGTAACAAAACTGCATACGAAAGACCATTTCAATCTGTTATCGAAAATGGTTTGGAGTACAGACCGTAGCCCCTAGTAACACACCTAAGCAATTTACATGTCCAGATAAGGATTCCCGAAAGTTAACAGCCTTTCAGAACAGCAATTAACAGTTAGAACTGTCTGTTTCTTTTATTTTCTCAGCATTCGTTTCTTTATGCGGCGGCTTGCTTTTTTGTTCTTCGATTTTGTTCTGATTCAGCGTGTTTTCAGACGTCTGATCCCCACTGGTGGAAACAGGATCTAAAACTACAATGGATTCCGTCTCTTTTTCACTGCTAGAAGCTTTTCTTGTAAATTCCGTATGACTAGTTGGTCTAAAGGAAAAAGAATAAATATATGAATACAGATAAGAGTTCACATATTTAGGAGAAAGAATATAAACACACAGAAAAGCATTTCTGTTACTAGTAGCACGTATGACCAGTACAGGACTACTAAACTAGTGAAGAGATTTCTAGATTTACAGCTGTTACATACAGATTGTAGTTCACAAAATGCAGCAGTCACATTACCTCTCCTGGATCATCTGTTAAGCTAGCAATGGAAGGTATTTAACAGGAAAAACAAACTTATAAAGCACTGAAAAAATCCCTAGACTATGAAAGAATCAGTTTAAAGTCTTAAGAATTTATTTTCTCTCTGCTCATCTCGGAGCTGGATTTAGGTTCCCCCATGTCCAACAGGGCAGTTGCACCCAGAGAAAACGCTACCAGTTCCCGTAGCCTGTAGGCTAATAGTCCTGCGGCCTGAAAGGAGAACGTGGCTTCTTCTCCACACCTGCATCCCAGAGCAGCTTGCACAGGGCTTTCACTGTACTACACTCTACCGTATGACAGGGAGGTAGAGGCAGCGTAACCAGATTTTCCGCCGTGGCTCAGCACCAAGAGGCTGCTAGTGGTCTCACTGGGAGCAAGTGCAAATGATTTCTGAGAATTCACCGACTGGATTTGCTGAAATACAGAGGGCGTTAGACCTACATCTTGTACTGCAGAAACGGGGTTACGTCTTGATTGCTTGCAGCGCCGGGATTCTTGCGGGTAAAAAGCCCTCTGAGCGGGGAGACAGGAAGGAAAGGTCAGAGACACCAGGGTTATTTGTCGAGGCTGGCATCACGCTATAAACACTGAAAGCACTTGTCTATATTCAAAAGCTTGTACTAGTGTTGAAAACGTGCAGGAAAATCCTTAGATTAGCTAGAATGCACCAGCAGAGAGCGAGGCAAACGCTGGGAAAGCACGACCTGAACAAGTGGCAGATCCTATGCCATCTTGACGCTGCTGTATGGGCAGACAGGCAGCTTACAAGCATGAGTTTATATCTCCTCCACCGTCCTTTCCAGAGCCTGTTGGCCCTGTATGCCTGAGGGCATGTAACCAGGCATGCTTAGAGGGCAGTCACAGGCATGTACTCCGCCCACCTTTAGGCAGGGCCTTACACAATGGTATGAACACCGTATAGATATCCGCACCAATACAGCTACAACCACCAAACTGGACAGGTGCAAAAATCCTTAGCGCCAGAAGGTCCTACGTGCACCAGTGGGTGTGCGGCCCCGCGCTCCCGGGAAGCCTAACTGTAGAGCTGCTGAATGCAACTGCGTTTGCTAGTCCAGAGCCTTTTTTTTATTTTGTTGGGTTTTTTTAAAACATTTTCATGCTTACTCATAAGGAACGGCCTTCTGTACTGCTAAGATAACACCCTTGAAAGGAAAAAGTAGAATCAACCGGAAGCCAGAGAAAGAAATTCAGCTACTGGATCCATCTGCTCTGAACTGCCTTTTATTGTGACAGTCTTTGTCCTAGAGAAAATGAATGCGGCCCCGCGCTCCCAGGAAGCCTAACTGTAGAGCTGCTGAATGCAACTGCGTTTGCTAGTCCAGAGCCTTTTTTTTATTTTGTTGGGTTTTTTTAAAACATTTTCATGCTTACTCATAAGGAACGGCCTTCTGTACTGCTAAGATAACACCCTTGAAAGGAAAAAGTAGAATCAACCGGAAGCCAGAGAAAGAAATTCAGCTACTGGATCCATCTGCTCTGAACTGCCTTTTATTGTGACAGTCTTTGTCCTAGAGAAAATGACAAGGAAAAAAGAGGTCACCCCACTCAACAATTAAGACCGTGGGGCGGAGAAGGTACTGGCTCCCACCTGACGGGGAGAGAGTAAATGTACAGGTTAAAAACAAATAAATAATCACAGAAACAACAGTTGTTGCACTTTCCATTTCAGAAAGAATTCACTCAGCTTGCTACTGAAGCGCTGGATATAGCGAATGAAATTCCATGTTCAAGCTTTAATTACAAGAATTGTCTCTAACATTAGAACTTCGGTATAAGTTAATTAATGCAGAAATTGGCGCTAATAGATACAGTTTCAGACTCATTTGATTATCATCAGAAGCTAGTGATTTCATAAGGAAAATAATGCTTATTTTATGCAAAAGTTGCCAATCATTCCAGAAAATACGAGGTGCGGTATTTTCAATGTTACAGCAAATTAAACTTTTTAAAGCAGCGTAACCAGAAGAGGGTTATTTTAAAAAGTGCTACCTCTGAAAAGCTGATTGCCCAACCCTATAAAA